GGAGAACGGTGTTGACGCAATGTGATTTCTGCCCAGTGCTCTGAATGTCAAAGTGAAGAAATTCAATGAAGCGCGGGTAAACGGCGGAAGTAACTATGACTTTCTTAAGGTAGCCAAACGCCTCGTCATCTAATTAGTGACGCGCATGAATGGATTAACGAGATTCCCACTGTCCCTATCTACTATCTAGCGAAACCACAGCCAAGGGAACGGGCTTGGCGAATTCATCGGGGAAAGAAGACCCTTTCGAGCTTGACTGTAGTCTGACTCTGTGGCGAGGCATTATTGGCGTAGTCTAGGTGGGAGTCTTTTCGAGGCGAGTCTGTGAAATACCACTACTTTGATCGCCTTGTTACTGATTCGGTGATGCTCTGTGGTCCTTCCTTCGGGATGCGACGTGTTATGTGAACTTAACCCGCGCTTCGTCGAAAGCGTCGGGGAAGAGCTCCGAAGACAGTGTCAGGCAGGCAGTTTGTCTGGGGCGGAACATCTGTCAAAAGGCAACGCAGGTGTCCCAAGGCCGGCTCGGCCGGGACGGAAACCTGGCTTAGAGCAAAGGGGCAAAAGCCGGCTCGATCTCGTTCTTCAGTAAGGAAGGGGACCTCGAAAGAGGGGCCCATCGATCCTTTCGATGCGTGAGAGTCTCACGCGAGAGGTGTCAGAAAAGTTACCGGAGGGATAACTGGCTTGTGGCGGCCAAGCGTTCATAGCGACGTCGCTTATTGATTCTTCGATGTCGGCTCTTCCTATCATTGCGAAGCAGAATTCGCAAAGCGTTGGATTGTTCACCCACTAACAGGTAACGTGAGCTGGGTTTAGACCGTCGTGAGACAGGTTAGTTTTACCCTCATGAAGACGGGTCGTCGCGACGGTAAAATCTGCCCAGTACGAGAGGAACCGTAGGTTCGGACATTTGGTACTGCGCTCGGTGGTGCCGCCGGTGGCGCGAAGCTACCATCCGCTCGGATAACGGCTGAACGCCTCTAAGTCGGAAGCCGTCCCGAGAACGGTGAGGATATCATTGTGTGCCCCTCGCGTCGAACGGCAGCTCTAGCCCCTCGATGTTCCCCCTCGGCCCGCCGTCGGGGAGCGCGAGCGGGCGAAAGTGGCCCCTTCGCACGCCCGAGACCTCCGGGACCCTCCGTAGACTCCGAGGGTCCTGCTCCTGCGAGCCTGCCTCCGGGCAGACGAGTGATGTGAGTGGGCGTAGAGTCGTCTGCAGACGACGTTCTTGCTGGACGGGGTGTCGTAAGTAGCAGAGCACCCACCATAGTGCGATCTACTGAGACTCATCCCTCGTCCGGAGGACTCGCTGGCTCCGCCGGCGCCCCCTTTCCTTTTGGGGTAACGGTTCCCTCAAAGGGGACCCCGAAAACTGGAGAGTTGCAGCAAGGAAAAAAAAAAAAAAAAATTCAGCGTGTCGAGAAGTCCACCGGAAGAGGGCATGCGGGCCCCGGTGACGGGAGAAGTGGAGCACGGTTCGTGCGAGGCTCGCAGGTAAGTGGATCGAGTTTGATGTGAAAGGGGAAGTGGACTTCGAAATTTTTCGAGGTCCACCGGAAGAGGGCGCTGTCTCGTGCGGGCCCCGGTGACGGGAGCCAAGCCGTCGGGAGAAGTGGAGTGGGTGCGAGGCTCGTGTGGAAGTCGAGAGAGGATAGAGTGGTGTGAGTGGTGAAGACGACGCAAGTGGTGGCGAGAACGAGTGGTTTTGGACTTCGAAATTTTTCGAGGTCCACCGGAAGAGGGCGCTGGCTCGTGCGGGCCCCGGTGACGGGAGCCCCGCCGTCGGGAGAGGTGGAGGAAAGTGGCGAGGAGCTCGGAGTGAATCGGTCGCCGAAGCTGAGCAGGAAGTGGCGAGAAGGAGAGGTTTTGGACTTGTGAAATTTTCGAGGTCCACCGGAAGCCGTCGGGGAGGAGTGGTGTTGTGTGAGCTTCGTTCCGGTGTTCCATCGGACTTTGAAATGATCCGGGAGTGGGCTCGAGTGTGTCCGGATGGATGCCTCGTTCGGGTGTTCCGCCGAACTGGAGAAGTGATCGTGAAAAGCTGTCGTCGGCCGGCCCCGTCGAGTGCTTCGAAATCGAGGTTCGACTGATACAGCCCCCTGTGGAGTGCAATGCTGCGGTTGCGAGTTCTTCCTGTCTTTTTATTTTTTTATCATTATGATTTACATAAATAAATAAAAAGTGTTCGCTATGCTTCGCTTCCCCCCTAAAATTGGTATATTCATTCCAGTAATACTGCATAATTTCATGACTGTGGATTTGTAATTTTTTTTTTTCCCCTCCGGCCACCTCTGTGTATTTATATTTCTTCGTAAATGTACCGATTTAATTTCTTTTATCCAAAGTATTGTTTTATTAATATTTTTTTCTTTCTACAGTTACTATTCTTTTTGCTTTTCTGTGCTCCGAAAAATTCATGACAATATGTAGGATATTGTAAGTTTTTTTTTTTTTTTTCACCTGTGCGTATTTTTTTTTTATTTTTTCCTCCCCCGAATGGAAGGGATAGATATATATTAATTAAAAGTAATGCCAGTCGTGCAGGTCGTTTTTCTCTGAAATTTTCAATTCTCGAGTACCACTAAGTTAATTAATTTTTTTTCCCAATAGTGGTATGTTAATGTTCTTTTGTAATTCTTTGCCACACAGAACTTTTCTTTTAAAATTATTACGACTCCTTTCATGTAATGTAATATACATTGCATTGTTGGATATACATTACATTTAGGTCGATGTGGTATATATTTTTTTTTTTTTTTCTAATTAAAAAAAAAAAAAAAAGTAATGTTTTTTTTTATTCACAAAAAGTGCAATAAATACATACACAGAGTTCAGGTTCATAACACAGATAGAACGAAATAAAACATTTCGCCGAACATTTCGATTCGTCATATTACCAATATTTCGAGTAGGGACGTACTTCCGGTTTTGCAAGCTCCGTTTCCGGTCGACCGACGATGCTGTAACTTTGCTTCCGAATGTCGTAAAAAAATCAAAACCAGAGTGTTTTCGGAATCTTTAACGGTACGGGCCGTAATATTAAACGTATAAAATAGATTTCGAAGATTGCCCCCCCCAAAAAAAGACGAATTTCGGTTTACCTCAAGGGAAACTGCGGAATAAAACGGAACGGGAAAAAATAGTGTAATATAACGTTTCGGTTTTTCTTACCTGCTGTTGTGTATTTCTTTTATATACGTGGGCTGCTGTGACGGGTGCCTACGCGTTTCGCCGACCTTCTCTCGTAATCTTTCGAATTGTATTTATTTCAACCGATCCCCGCCGAGAGCCGAAGGTGTGACTTATGCAGACGAGATAGTTTCGGGCTCGGCGAGTTCGAAAGAGCTATAAAAAGGGAGAAATGAAACGAAGAGACGAGGATGACCACGTGTTTCGATGGAGGAGTAAACTACGTGATGGGTTTGAGAAGGTGATTCCGGGAGATTAGTCCGACTCGGTGAAGTTCGGTCAGCGGTAGGAAGATTATTGAAAAAAGCTTCATTCATTCGGTTCGGAGGTAACCGAAGATATCAAGGATCGAAGTCGCTCTGCGGATCCTTCAAGTAGTCACGAATCCTGTCTCGAAGAGATATCAGGTCTGTGTGATTTTCCTAAATTGAGTTATAAATGCGTAGTTCCATTGCATGCGTTATCCGCCGGGTTTTCGGTCAGTGTTCCGTCGTTCACGATTGAATCCCGATCTCACTCCACCGTAATGTGTTGTTCTTAAAAGTTTGATTAGTATTTGTGTATTTCTATCATAGGGAATAATGCGAATAAGTGATTTATTACTCGCGTAGTCATGAATTACGAATTGTAGACGACGTGCAAAGGGGTGTTAATAACCGTAGGGGTAGTGAGAGACCGCGACACTGTACACCGATTTAATTTTTTTTTTCTCTTCTTTTCTTTCAAGGTGCATTGCTTTCCGATATGCACCGTTCCCTCCCAGTAGGATAATTAAAAATAAGAAGAAAATGCCGAATGAAATAGACGGTGTTTTTCTCACCTGTGCGTATTTTCTTCTTCCGTGCACCGGTCTTCTTTTTCTGTGGAAAATAGGTTCGAAATAAAATCTTTCCGGCACTACGCGTGTATAAAATTATTTACCTCTACGCATATTCCCCCTTCAATGTACTCTGTACCGATTCGATTTTTTCTTTTTTGCTTTCTTCTCGAAGGGTGACACATTAAATAGACAGTACCTTCGTTACAATATACATATACGTCTTAATAAAGAGCAGTACTCTTAGCGAATAATTGCTACAAAAATAAATAAATAAATAAATAAAGGTTACGGTACTTACTTCATCCCCCCCACCCCCGAAAAAAAGGGCGCAACTTCCGGTGGGGAGTTTCCTGGTCTTTTCCCACAGCTTTCCCATTTCATCTTCGAATATACATATATATACATTTCCCCGAAGAAAGTACCTGAAAAGAATGAGATCAGAATTTTCGCATAAAAATTCCACGAAGGAAAATGAAAAAAAAAAAAAAAAAAAGTAGTGATTTCTAGAAAATTAGAAACGGATTTAAAGGTCTCCGGATGCACCGGAAGGGGTCGTCGACTCTCGAAACGCAGAGGAAACCGTGCGGTCCGTCGAAGAGAGCGAAAGCGCGGCCCCCCGGGTCGTCTCCGGCGCTCCGCGCTTCACGATCACTCCAACGTGCCGACTTGGACCCCCGCGGCCGTCCGGGAACGACGAAATCCGCACCCCGGGTGGAACCGGGTGCCCCCTTTCCGAATTTCAGGTCCGTTTCCCGATCGCGCCGCGACTTTTCCGTGCAGGGGCGCCGAGGGGTGCTTTTTTTCCAATTTCGAGACCGTCCGAAACACATTCAAAGACGAGCTGGGACCTCGACTTTTTTTTCGAAGACTCCGCGGGAGGTCCCCCGCGCGACCCCGGGGTCGAAAAAAATAAACTCCCGCGGGTTCGCGCCCCGGGAGAGAAATGCGAAAAAACCGGACAGGGGGCGCTGCGATCGACTCCCGGATCCGAAAGGGCACTCGTTCGACGCGGAACCTCCGGGGCCTCGCGCACGTATTTTTCTTTTTCGCGTATTCCCGAAAGTTGTCGAGATAAGGCAGAAATGCACCTTTTCGCCGCCAGGGGAAATTCGAAACCGACGCGCTCTTTCCCGAATAAAGACGGGACCGCTCGCGGGATCTTCCCGGAAATCCGGGAACCGGTCGATCCCGACGAGGGGAGCACGAATTCGAAATCGGAAGGCCGAAATTCCCGCAAGTTTCGCGGCCCCGGCCTTCCGAAGGAGACCTCGGGCCCCGCTTTCGAAAAGTAATAATTCTTTGCCACGCGGAATTTTTTTTTTTTCTTCCTCCCCTCTTTTTAATGCGGAATAAAAATTTATGGTATTTGCATTTTCAATCGAAACTGTTTTTTTTTCCTCGTTTCATCTATCGATATAATAAAAAAAAATAAATAAAACGGTGTAATACTTAATAATAGCAAGGGGAAATCTTTGAAATTAGGAGGCCCTCAGTGAGTGGCAGGAAGCACCGGAGGGGGTCCTCGACCCCCACAAAGAGGGAGAACAGTCGGTCCTTTCGAAACCTGCGAAATCGGGGCGTCCGAGCTTCCGGAACACGACCACGAGAGGACTCGAGCCCCCGGATCGACGCCGCACTCATTGGGGGGATCGCACTTCCCAATACCAAAAGTTAAGGGGAAAAAAAGAAATGCAATTAGTGTGTGAAATTCTCTGTAACAATTTTTTTTTCTTTTGGTTCGTAAGGGGTTTGGCTTTTATTTATTATTATTATTTTTTCAATGAAATTCTCTTTATTGTAATGTATTTTTTCCCCCCGACTTCTCCCATTGGGTTCATTCTGATTGAGTTTTTTTTTATTTTTATTTAAATTTGTTTCTCATTCCCTTCGAAATATTAATACCTTAAATACAATTTTTTATTTTTCCCTCTTGATAATGTTCACTCATAGAAAGTTCCCAGGGTAGGTATTGTGTTCTCACTCTTCTGTTACAAAATAGTGGAATTTTGTGTCTGAACACTCCTTTTTTCCAACGCTTTCCAATTTCATCTTCGAATTTATATATATATATATTTTCCCAAAGATTTATTTATTTTTTTTCCTGAAAAAGATAAGAGGAGAGATCAGATGGCCGATCCACGGAAACACGTGTTTTTACATAACATCCTACAATGGAAAATGAGAAGAAAGAAAGAAAAAAAAAAAGAAGGAAAAAATTTGATTTCTAGAAAATTAGAAAAGTATTTAAAGGTCTCCGGATGCACCGGAGGGGGTCGACGACTCTC